ACAAGAACTTAATCATAGACCATCTATTATATGGAAACAATGTGTGTGGGAGGCAAGCTCAATAGAAATACATGCTTCCTTTGTCAGAATTAGCTGCCCCTCCTTGGAAATGATATTAGTGAATAAGGTCCAGAATGAGAGAAAGCAAAACCCCTTAAGAAAATGTAACCTCCTGAATTAATCTTAGAAATTAAAACATTCTTGTACTGATTCATTGTCTAACAGAGCTGGTTGAGACTTTTTTTTGGTTTTTTTTTAAGAGCCAGGAGCTGGGGCCAGGCAGGGCAGCCGTTGACAGGGCTGGGAGAGTGGGTGGGGGATGGGGCCTGTCTGATTCAGAGATTTGGCCAATTTGGGAACAACCAAATCTCCAAATCAGATTTGGCCATATCAGTTTGGGACAGTGATTCAAATCACCGAATTGAGTCACTGTCCCCTGAAATGGCTGAATCTGAAGCGAATACTAACCACTTCGCATAGGCCTAGTAGCCAATGCTTAGCGCGTTTTGACGAGCAGTGGAAAATCCAGGTGTAATTCTCCTGAGGGGCTTTGAACACACATCTTCTACTGCCCAAGAGGGTGTCCTAACTACCAGGCAGTAGGCTACTTTAGGCAGAATAACGCTCCATCCCTCCTACTGAAACTGGGCAGTAAAGAGTGTAGCATTCGCTGGGCCAGAAAGACAGCACAAGAGGGAGCCTTGACTTTGTAACTTAGTGATCAGGGCATCTCCCTAGGAAGCAGAGATGACCTGGATCCTGCTCCCAGGCATGGCCCCTTATTTTATCTAATGACTGTTTCATGTGAAATGAAGGAGCCCACACCTACTTATTCCTTGGTAAAAGCCTCAGTGATTTAGGAACTTAAGTCAAAATCACTTTTGCAAATGAGACTTAGATTCTTACGATATTTAGGCATGTTTGAAAATGTTACCCTGCTTACTATGGAGTAGGACTATCTTCCTCCCATTAGTATTCTGAATGGTGCATTTTGAAAGTAATTTAAATGCCAGAAAAATGGAGAAGGAATCAGCAGGCAGAGCTGACCCGAGCAGGGTGTGGGGCCCAGGGGAAATCAGCCCATACGGGGCCCCACCTCCACTCTGATCCCATGCATCCCAGACTTGAAGAAGCTGCCACTGTCATCGGCAGCGGGGGATTTGGTGGGGGTGCCAAGCAGCTGGACATGAAGCTGGTGGTAGGGGCACGGGGTTGCCGCAGCCACTCCTCCCAGCTCCTCAGAGCCCGGGGTGGTTACCCCAAGTCACACCCTCCTAGGGACGGCCCTGTCAGCAGGACAGTACCAGGGGAAAGAAAGCAACTTACAAAGGTGACACTTAAAAATACATCAATGAGAAGGATAACATTTACTGAGCTGTAACCAGCTCATGCAAGTGAGTCAGAAATAGAATTAACTCACTCTTGTATTGATTTAACAAACATTTTCTGGGCATCCTGCCTACACCTCACAAGTTACTCCAAGAACAGAATTGCCTTCTATGCCAGCCTGATGTTGTTTGCATCCGTAGATCTCCTGGGCCCGTTTTATTTTCCTTGTATGCTTGCAGTGGCATCAAGGTTGGCTGCTACTGTTACTGAAATACTGAAATAGTCACATTTTTGGGGGGTTGCATTAACATGAATCTGGATGAGCAGACTGGATGGAAAACAGACTCTTTCAGGAGGCAGCTGAATGTTAGGGATGCTGCAAGGAAGCGGCAAGGAACATCACTGGTAAACAGAAAGCAAAAAATACATTCCTCCTGCTAATTGTTACATTGCTATAGGAAAGCAGAGTCAGTGTGCTGTGGGCAGGCTGATGTTGTAATCTGAATTTCTGATGAAGTCTTGTTGTATCGCTGCATTTCACAGTTTGCTGTTAAAATGAAAACTACCTTCCTTTTTTTGCAGCGTGGATTTTGTGAAATGGTCTTCTCAAGGAATGCTAAGGATGAGTCCAGATGCCATGAATGCCCTTTTCAAACCTACAATTGACCAGATTGTTCAACATCTTAGTACGTATCAAGGTGCAATTGTTTCTTGATTGGGTTGAGACGGCGGCCTAGATTATTTAAACACCCACCTATACTAGCCTAATAAGTGGGAATTAGGATTAATAGGGTGGTGAGTCCCACCTAGTATGCCACAAATGGTGGCAAGGAATTCAGTTTCTGAAGATGCCTAGGAAGGGTTGCTTGAAGTCAGGTAACATCTTTAATCGATACTTTTTTAGCTGTTTTGTAGCTGTGGGCATCTCCACAAGTTCATTAATGCGCTTTAGATACTGCACATTTAGTTTAGTACTATCTTAATAAAGTAATAACTAAATGTGCAGTACCTAAAGTTACTGCACAGTAGCACCAGTGTATTAACCTAATAACACTGTGTAGTAGGCTATTAGTATGGTTTGTGCCGTAACACACTACTGCCCAGTGTTATTAGGCTAATGCGCAGTAAGCATCCCATGTAGATGTGCCCAGTATTTATTATTCACTTGAGTTTTCACAAATACAAAACTTTAGAAGACTGAAATGTACCAATTACCCCAGTGCCTGATTTTTATTTATTTTTTTTTGGTTCAGAAAGTATACAAATTAATGGCAGGAAGATAAAAAAAATACTTATTAGGACAGTACAGGACTGTCCTTTCAATGTATTCTTTATTGTTTTGCCCAGTATTTAAATTCTCAGTTGAATATGCTTGAACCCAGTGGGATATAATATATAAAGTATAAGCATAAGAACATTTTTCTATCACTAAGCACTGTGTAGGCTGTATATTTGGAGCGTAGTATCCAATTTGATCATCCTATATGAAAAAATAGTTAATTTAGAAATAGCATAGCATAAACCAGCTAATACAAAGTAGTTTATGTGTGAGTAAAGGGGGAGAGAACTAAAATTATATCGTCTTGACAGGTAAGTGAGGCAACGTGACTGAAGTATGTAAACTAGCTGGGTGATGATAAAATTAGACTACCTGAAATTCATAGCAAGGCCAGACCTGGGGACGCCGCTTTCAGTTCAGAGGTCACATCTGTAAGAATTTAAGGAAGCACTGTTTTTCAGCTGGAATCCCTGTCAGTTGAGATTCTGGGGTCAGAAATAGTAATATTATTTAAAATTGGGTGATTGTGTGGAATTCAATAAAAAAGGCTTTTATTGGGGATACCTGACTGCTATTTTGCATGTCAGGAGAGCAGGAGGAAGATTTTACCTGGTAGTTTCCTGCCTGTGGATTGTTTTGCACAGGAATGCAAAGCCAGCTTTTGAATGCATATATGCTTTAAACATTTCTTTTGTTTTGAGTGATATTCCCTATTCAGGGACATATTCCCCGTTCGGGGCAATCGCGCATGACCGTGGAACGGTTCAGAACGGACTCTGTTTCTCTGTCTAGGCAATGTGTTTGAAAAGCCAGAAGTGACCAGTGTCAAGTTTCTGTTCCTGGTGGGGGGATTTGCGGAGTCCCCCTTACTTCAACAAGCTGTCCAAACTGCTTTCGGTTCAAAGTGCCGCGTCATCATTCCTCAGGATGTAGGGCTCACTATCCTCAAGGGAGCGGTCCTCTTTGGCCTAGACCCTGCCGTCATCAAAGTGCGCCGTTCCCCTCTGACTTATGGAGTTGGCGTTCTGAACCGGTTTGTGGAAGGAAAGCACCCTCCAGAGAAGCTGCTGGTTAAAGACGGCACACGCTGGTGCACTGACGTCTTTGACAAATTTATCTCCGCTGACCAATCTGTCGCTCTTGGAGAAACTGTGACACGCAGTTACACGCCTGCCAAACCTTCCCAGTTGGTAATAGTGATCAATATCTACAGCTCCGAACAAGATAACGTTAGTTTCATCAGTGAATCTGGAGTCAAAAAGTGCGGCACTCTTCGTCTGGATCTCACAGGAACTGATATCTCTGTGCCAAATCGGAGGGAGATCAAAACGCTAATGCAGTTTGGGGACACTGAGATCAAAGCCATGGCCATTGATGTTGCCACCTCTAAAAGTGTCAAAGTTGGTATTGATTTCTTAAATTACTAACCATCCTTTCATACCCCGCAGCCAATCTGTGACACTATTATTTCAGTATTCCATTTTTTGACTTTCATATGTAACACTTGAATTTCAGCAGGCTGAGAACAGCCAAGAGGTGGGGATAGATCAGCGGGTTTTTTTTGTTTTGGGGGGCAGTTTGCCCTTGAATGAGCTAAAATGGATTTTGAAAGGCTCCCAAGTGATTTACAAGCACATATCCTATTGGATGTAAATGTTCCTAAATCACTAGAGATTAAAATGCTGTCCTAATTAAACAGTATGAGCTGTCAGGTGCTAAAGGATTAAACTGAATATTCCAAACTGATTACCAGGGTTGTTTTGGAGATTAATTATTTGAAGAGTGCAGTCTTAACAATAAAACAAATTCCTAGCTCGCAGCTTTCTTTTAGCAAGTATTTTCAGCCTGTAGGCCGAAGGTAAGTTTCCTGAATCCATAGTTAAGCATATGAAGAAAAGTGGGCAACTTTTAAAGGTACTGACTACCTGCAGTTCCCACTGACTTCATTGCAAATGATGGCAAATGCTTGGCAGTTCTGAGAACTAGGTCTTTTTATTTTGGGTTCCCACTATAAAATGGATTTAGGGGGGTCTAACATTATGTAGTCAAGTTTGAAAATGTTGGCCTTTCAGAAGGCCAACTACTGCTATAGTTTGTCCAAGCTCCGAATTTCATATTTCTCTGATAACAATGGAACTTGCCATTTCAGGGTCTTTCTATTTATGTTTATTAGAGCAATCTGAAGGCTGACTGCATTTCCTTTTATATTTAATGTCCTATTGATTTTTTTTTTTTTTTTTTGGAAACGTGCTCAGTTGTGGACTTTTGTG